CGACAAATTATTTAACAACTATCAATTTTTGATTATTCAAAATAAATATTTGTTAAGCTTTTAACATTTTTGTCGTGGTTTTGTTTGTAAACTAGAAATGGTGAAAAGGTTTCATGGCAAGCAGGACATCTTTACCGATGTCATTTCAAGAAAGTTCGTGTCACAATTAGCAATTTTTCAATTTTTTTTTTGCTTTTGGTACTTATATGCACAAGGTAAATAATATTAATAAGACTAATGTTAACAAAAATGGTATACAGTTGACCTCTTCCGCGTAAGAAGCAAGAGCTCTGCATGTGATTTGTTTTAACAAGAAGAGATTAGTATAGAACACTGAGAAGAGTTTGGGGAAAGCTTTAAAGCGCTAACAACTCTAACGACTGAAAACTACTTCAAAGACCCTTGTAGAAGTGGAACAAAACAAACTAACGAGCGAAAATATTGGACACGATGAACCTGATCACTTCTTTGAGCGAAATAGCCCGCAAACTTGACATCTGATGACACAAGAGCAAAACACTACAGGGCGCACAAAAATTCCAGCTGCCGTGATAGACACTCGATGACATGAGAGGCATCAACGCTGGAAAAGAAATGAAACGCATTTCACCATCATCACCGCCCAAAAACGTGCTACCCACATTAACAAGTTAACAAGTTACTCGGGTTGATTTAAGAAGAGAAAAAAAAGGAACAAAACTAAGCCTTCTTTCTTTTCTTCTCCTTCTTCTTATTCTTCATCTTCGCTCGATTCTATCACGAGCGGAAATTATTGATACCGAGAGTGGTCTTACTGTCCGATGCCAGCATCGTAGGTTTCTGATACAACCGTTTACACGCACCCTCCGTCATATGATTCATAGCACTTATGATCGAAGACTCTTTTGGTGCCTTTTTTCTTCGCAGGATTATCACAGGGAATCGGACAATAGTCATTCAATGCAAAGGAAAAGCGGGGGAGGGGGGGTGGGGTGGAGGTTGGAAGGGGGGGGGGTTAATCGAGGTATTCCTGAATTCCTCCTTCTCTACCTATCTTTAAGTCATTATCATGCTTACCAAGAGTTGTGAGATACAAGGGTAGCGCCATGGCACAGGACCGACAGTAAGCCACATCATATTTTAGCCATTGCGTTAGGCTGGAGAGGCCCTTACTGATTATCTCTATCTGTTCAAGTCTTAAGCGCGTTTCTGCTGAAAAAGCACGCAGATCAACTCGCACCGCATGTTGTCTGGCATTTTAATCATTCTCAGACGCAATCGAGGAGATAACATTCAGTGATTCCTCTCCAAATACACTGATGTTGATAGTGAAATCTTATACGTACACAAACACAACCTGATGACCGTTTCCCATAACCCTGGGCCCCCACAAAGACATTTAAATCCAATATTTGCTTCTACAAAGTGGAAAAACTGCAGATTCAAACGAAGCAATAAGCCTTCAGAGGTAATTTTTTAAGTTTAACATGTTTGTCCTCCTTGTTGCATAGATGTAGGTCTCGAACTAAATCAATTTCAAGACGATTATTTTCCATATCGGTCACGTGCCATCGGGAAATGACAATTATCAAGTGGAAAGGTCTCGATAGCTCAACCCATGTCATTAACTGTCTAATCCTTTGGCAAGGTAATGAAGTAAAGTGCAGCTGACACAATATGTTGTCCCTTAAGGAAGAAGGTGCCTTAAAGCACGCAAATATAGGTTAGCCTCGGAGGAAATCTTTAGACCGATTTTACTACCCTTGGGAGTGTGGTAACAACAATATCTGTGAGCATAAACATTTATAAACAGCGTCACAAGGGTTGATGAAAAATATGGCCTTGGACAGAAAAGGTGCCGACATGGTCCGTAAGAAAATAGCTACTTTCAAGAGCAAGATACAGGAGGCGGGAAAAAGGACTGAAAAAGCGAAAGAAAGTCTTCAACTTGTACAAGAAAGCTTTGATAGCACCAGGAGATCGAAGGCAAGAGTGGAAGCGTTAATTTCGAAAAAGGAGTCGCAACTAGAAAAAGTCGAATCTCTCGTCGATGGTGTACAAAGAAAATGGGATGCCTTAAATAGATTCCTCGAAGAAATAACCAGCACAGGAGCTGAATTAAAGATGGAGAATCATAGCAGTAAATATGTCGGCGAAATCGATACCACGATTGCGTCAATTAATGAGAGAACTAAAATCGCTCAGAGGAAGTGTAAAGCGTGCGCTAACAGAGAACACGAATTGCGCTTGCAAACGGAGGCGTCTCGAGAACGCTGTATCCGATTGGAAACCACTGCAATATCACTACAGGAAGAATTAGCGGCTTTGAGAGAACGTGTTGAAGTCTTGGAGCAATCAAGAAAACTACGGGAAACACGGAAGCTTCAAACGGAACATTTAGAGAGTAAAGTGCAACACGCCATTGCACGAGCTCAAGAAAACGAAAACTTGGAATCTGAACTCGAGAATCGAATAATCGAGTTGGAAGATCAAATCGAAATGTATACCATGAAAAAGAAGCGAACTTCAAGTATCCTGGAACAAACAAACGGTGAAAAGTCGATCGAACCCTGGACAGTGACACTATGGCTTCGAAGATCTAGACTTGTTAACGGTGCCCCGTCTTCAGGTCCTGTTCCACCTACTTCAACAGAATAAACTATACAGCACGCAAAAGTCTCGTAATCTCACGAAGAATCCGTAATACCAACTTATGCGGGAAAGGAGATTAGCGCGCAGAGCGACATCAAGACTTCAACTTTTCATTTTTACGATCATTCAAGTACAGCCTTTAAATTAGTGTCTCGTCAAAATATTCCGCAAGACTGCCCAAAACAACCACCTTAATTTGATATTAAAATTCACGTTTCCTCGAGCGTTGTTTGGTGTTTATCGAAATCGGATTTTTAACAAAAAAAATTCAAATTAAGGGTAATTATCCCAGCGTCAAAGTCGTCTGAGTGGGATATTTTTAGTTTGTTTTAGTCTTGATATCGTGAACTCGATGACCCGGCAATCTTTTGAAATTCTTTTATCCGAGATAGAAACGCAACACATTAGAGTATTACTACAACCACAACACGCCTTCGGAACAAATACTCAGCCGGGCAAGAATAACAAAGACATGCTCGGTTTAAGAGAGTTACAAGTTACAAAGAAAACACGCTTTCCATTGTTGCAAATTCCTGGCTAAAGAGTTGAAGTGTAACATTGTATTTCAAGTTCAAATTTCAAGTGTGTCTACCTTCTGTATTTCAAATCAATTTATGCTTAATCGTTTCCTGCTTTTTCAAAATCAATTGTAATGGGCTGAGCCGTAAAAAACCAGTCAATTATCAAAGAGACAAAGAGCTCAAAGCGATAGAGAATAAAAGCTGGCAGTAATCCATATCATGGAGCTTGCATCTATTTTGTCAATAGCTGTAGTTGTTACTAAAATTGAGTTACATAGAAAAGTCGGTTCCAATCCTTTTCCAATGCACAGTTTGATCTGGTTCAAACTGCTTCGGACAACCAACTGGAAGAAATCATTTTTGTGTGGTCCATCTGCCTCTAATGTCGCCTCTGTTGGAAACTTGACCTAAAAGGTCTACTTCGTGACGAAAGCGTGGGTTGCTGAACCCAACAGTACAGCAGGGATGCTGTGAAATGAAGATCTGGGAAACAACCGGCAAGACATGTTCACACGGACTAAGATAACAGAACGCATTTGAACTGAGTGTCGGCGAAGTAATTCCAAAGTAATGACAACAGTCAATCAAAATCGTCGAAGAAAAATAACAAGTCCACCAATGCTAAAAAAAAAAAAAAAAAAAAAAAATTGACAAAGGCGCAGGACGGGATCTTGATTAGTTTTATTTTTGGACCAACGACAACGTGCACGCAGTCACGGATTACCATCGACAATCGATTGAAAATTATGTGCTTGTCTAAGCATTCTGTCCTTTCTTATCTTCAAAAGTGATTACCATTCGATGGAGTAAGATTTGACGACTTGATCTACGATAGGGTAATTTCTTGCTGTAGCACTACATTCTCTTAACTAATTTGGAAAGAAATTCATGACAAGCAAGAAGAGAGAATCAATTATCAGATCTTAAATACAGGGTGGACTCCAAAAGTTGATTTAGAAGTCCATATAGCATTCAAGCCAATCGAAGCATCATCGCGCGTTTATCGTTTAGTTTGACAACCTGAGAACAAAAAAGTTATCAGTCAGGGTGTAAGAGCTTTGAACAAGACTTGTTCCAAACCTTGTAATTAAAGAGGTTTACAGGTACAGGGCGATTTCTTTAAAAAAAATGTTTTTGTTTTTTTCTTCGGTTGTTTGGTCGTTGCTTTTTTGTTGTTATTGCCTTTTTGGGGTGTTAGTTTCGTTGCAATTTTTTTATTTATAAGAGACTGATAGGAAATTGAAAAGATCGATGTCATTAACACAGCATGCATTTGCTCATTTTCCCCTGGAATCAGTATCCATGGAGAACTCCTTGGAATGAAACTTGATCTGAAGTTTTTTTTTTCAATTTTTAAGATTTGCAACAGATAAAAGGACGGGATAGATATCTTGCAATATACAAGAATCGAACCTCTGGAAGTCGACTTTCAACACCAGTAGATGAAACCGTTCGTAAGACGAGAATGCGTCTAGCGGCTTCCCGTCATCGGAGTTCTTCCAAACACGATCACATAACGGTGCGTCACGTGAAATGATGTACATCATGACATCGAGGCATGGTGTGCTTCGATGTCATAATGTACATTATTTCAAAGGTCACGTGCTTTGCTGGCTGAAGTAATTATCCCTAAAGTTATCGCACGATTCCAAGAACTTTTGATGTACCACGGACATGTTTGGGCCTCCCACCTGCAATAAAGGGTACTTATGTTCTAGTTACTTTTCTTCAACAAACTTAAATTTTCAGAAGTTTGTGTGTCAAGCAAGTGAGTTGTCAGTGAATGTTTTCTCTTTTTAATTTTGTTTTTAAATCATGCATTTGGCA